AATTTTCTAGACCTCTGCAGAATACAATTCCTGAGCCAGTGGAGATTGGATGGAGGTTGGAGTCTGATGTTTCCCAGAGACACCAACAATGAAGGCAACCTGCTCAGTCTCTCTCACTTCCAAAATCAAGGACCAGGTAATCACCTCCCACATGTCCCATGTGCGATTTCATCCACACAGGAACTGCCTGGCGAGGTAACTCCTACCAGTGCAAGCTGGCACTACAGTTCTAGAGAGTTGCCTGGGGTGTTAGGATGCCAAGTGACTTGGTCACAGGGCCAGTGGGTGTTAGAGACTGTCCTGGACCTAGATACAGAAGGGACCTCAAAGGCCCTTTAGTCTAACCCTCTCCAAGGACCAAACAAGCTGAAGGAAATTAAGTGGTAAGTGATTTCACAAGGGTCACACAGGTGATTAGAGGGAGGATCTGGACCCAGGTCACAGGGTCATAAACTCATCACTTCAGAGTTAGGATGGACCTTGGAGTTGCTCTGACACCAAAAGCAATCTAGTTCACAAATAAAAAAAAGCTGTCATGGCCCCTACTATGGAAAACACCTCCCCAAATCATCTGGCCAAATCTCTTGCCTCAGAATCTCAAGGACACTTGCTGACTCCTCTGAGAAGAAGCCACAGTTCCCAATATCCCTGGCTTTGTCCTGGCTGAGATTTGCCCAGCCTATCCTGGGCAATGGTTGGGGGTTCTAAACAAAGTGGGCCTCCCTGACTCTCCCCATCTTCCCACTCACCTTCAGAAGCCACCAGCAGCTCCTCTGACACTAGTGCTTCTCCGGAACCCTCTGAGGTCACCCCCCGTACTCGGAAGGTATACTTCTTTCCTTCCTCCACACCGGTATCAGAGAAGGTGGTGACATTTCCAGGGGTCTCGCCAAGCTTCAGCCAGGAAGTCCTACCAGCCTGCTGCCTTTCCACCATGTAGGTCAGCAGGGCTCGGCCCCCATCGTCCCTCGGAGGCTGCCAGCTCAGGTTGATCCCAGCCCCCTGACAGTAGTGGACCTTCAGAGGGCCCTGTGGGTGCTGGGGCTTGTCTGGGGACCAAAGGGAACAGGAGTGGTTAAAAGAGTGTGGATGTGTGTGTGTGTGTTTGTCTGGAGGGGACTTGGACTGGGGGGTCTTCTCCACTGCAGTAAACAGGCTAACAATGACTTCACCCCAACTTTCCTTCCAAGATTAGCCTATCCCAGAGGACACTAGCAAGTGGCTAGTGGAGGAGTAAGCATTTTTCGTAGACTTTAGAGCTAGAAGGAATCTTAGCACCATCTAAGTTCAACCTTCCTAATTTAGAGATAAGGAAACTGAGACCCAGAAAGAGTCAAACAACTCTCCCAGGGTCACAGAGGGAGTAAGTGACTGAGCTGGGATTTGAACCCAGGTACTCTGAGTCCAAGTCCAGAATTCCTTCTACTACACAATGCTTCAAGGGTTAGCCAAGTGCTACATGTGAGTCTGCTGGGCCCCTATCAAAGCCAGAAGCCCCTCAAGGGAGCTTCTCTTCCCAGAAGCTTCTCTGGCATGAATAGTATGGGAACTGGCCTGTTCTCGCCCAGAGACCACCATTCCTGCTCTTATCTTTGGGCCCTGCTGCATCACTTGCTACCTGCTACACTCACATAAGCTGGGTTCAGAGCACCTGGGGCTCCACCCGGGTGATGCTCAGCCTATCCTTCTTCTAGACTAGGCCGACCTAACCAGAAGAGGGCAGGAGAGTCCCCTGGAGAGGAGACAATAGAAAACAGAGTTGGGTTGGGGGTAAAGGTAAAGTTTGGATAACAAAATGAATAGGATAACAAGAAACACTCATTCATAGGATCAAGAGCTGGAAAGGACTTTAGAAGTCATTCATAGGGTGGAATTTGAACCCAGATACTGTCCCTTCAAATCTATGGCCCAGACAATATCTGTCAAAGCCCCACAGTATGTTCTAGCATCCCCTCTTCCTGATTAAGACTAAACCAAGCCTCCTACACAATCCCTTGGGGACCCCAGCTAGAAGAGAGAGCTGGGTCTGGCACCTATGACCTCCAGGGTGAGTTGAGCCTCCACTGAGCCCCCTGCATTCCTCAGTCGTACGCTGTATTGCCCACTGTCCTTGCGAGTGGCGCTGGAGAGGCACAGGCGAGTGAAGTTATCCCCCTGGTCCAGCTGGGCTCCCCTGCTGCCTCCCTCCACTTCTGCCCCATCCTTCCTCCAGGAAGCTTGAACAGGGGACTCTCCAGAAAACGGGATCTTCACTGCAACAGTCTTCCCTGCCTTGACCACCAATGGCTCCTTCAGTTTCTCCAGCATATCCTGGGCAATGGTTGGGGGTTCTAAACAAAGTGAGACAAGGAATTAATTTAGAAATGGTCCTTGGCCTTGGGCATAGCTCTGGGTAGGGAAATAAGCACCAGGAAGAAGGGGGCAATGTTCTGTCTCACAGGGTAGTTGCAAGCAAAGACTTTTGTGGACCCCTATGTAAATGTGGGTTGTGGTTGTAGGGGCTGTTGTGTTATGGAAGGGAAGAGAGAACGGGGTCCACGGGTCAGGGGTTAAGAGAAGACAATAGTAAGGACTATCACAGTAAGCAGAGGCCCACTCACTCCTTAGGAACAAAAGGAATAAATAAGTAGGCTTTGACTTCAGCGTGAAAGATTGAAGCTAGACAGGTAGGATATGAGAAAATAGAATGGAGGAAGTCATGAAATGATTAGATAAAAGAAGTTAAAACTGGAAGGGGATTTAGATACCCATCTCAGGAAACTCATGCATTTTACAGCTAGAGAAACTGAGTCCCTGATTTGCCTTTACTGGAAGGATTTTAAAATAGAAGAATCTTTTCCAGCTGAGCAGGGGTTTGGTGCTATTCTAAAAAAAGGTTTAGAACACCTAAGATAGTCTATGGGACCAAATATTTGTGATAAGGGTCCCAAATATTTGGTGCTATTCTAAGGAAAGTTTAGAATTTAAGATGGTGTAAAGGCCCAAATATTTGTGATAACCAGCTCAACAATGAGGGCTTTGAATGAGAGAAGCCTAGATGTGGGTTTAGATTCATAGATATTGACTTGGAAGAGGCCTTTGAGGTGTGTGCTGGAGCCTGCTCTTACTGGCTAGCTGATTGCTAAATTTTCAGTGTGAGCATTTATACCTCAGTAATTAGCAAATACTATAAATCAGAGCTTAATTTGTTATTCTTGATCATCTAGACTCAATAAAGTGATGGAGAATATGTTAATGATGCATATTAAATTGAAAAAGTGTGTTATGGGTAGATTATTTTTTTTGGAGAGCCAGTTGTTAAACATTGATCAGCACACACTGATAGTCCAACACCCACCTTCCCCCATTTTACAGGTCAGGAAATTGAGACCAAGAAAGATGAAGTGCTTTGCCCAAGGTTACAAGAGTGGTGACAGAGCCAGAATTCAAACTCAAGTTCTCTGACTCCAAAGCCAGTTCTCTTTCCATCATTCAATAGTCAACTCTCAATTATTCATGCCAACAGAATAGAGGAGTGAGGTGGATAATCCAAAAAAAGCAGATAATCCAAGTTACTTCTGCATATTTACATATAGTTTCTTCTATACATTGTATGATTTGGGGGTTGGCAGGGGATGGTCACAGATATTTCCTGCTGTTTCTGTTCAGTTCAGGATAATTCTAAAAGAAATCCGTAAGGTCTACATTATCTGAGCTCACCCTGGGAGCTAGAGGAGGAAGGTACCTAGGAGAAGGCTGGAGCAGATTAGGCGGCACCTTTGGAGTTTAACACCAGCCAAAGATAATCCATTGTTAAAGTCAGCAAAGATGGGGTCTGTTGGGTTTGTTTTGGGGTTTGTTTTTTTGGTCTGAAAGCAGCCTGGGTAAGGGTAAAGCTATAGGGGTGGGACCTCACCTCGGATGGTCAGAGTGGCCTCACTCATGTAATCCCCAGCTACAAACATGTATTTTCCAGCTTGGGTCTCCTGTACTTGGGGTATTCGGAGTTTGTAATTGGGGCCATCTTGCTCAAAGATGACCCCATCTTGGGCAGTGAGCTGGTAAAAAGAACCACAGCAGGAGAAAATCACACTGGATCTGTTCCCCATACCCTCCCCAAGTCTGGCTAACCAGCCGTCCCAGCCCCAGATGTGTGAGGGAGTGAAGCTCCCTTCATTGCCTAACATGTAAATTAAGTACTACAAATAAAATCCCATTTAAAATGTCCTCAAGAAGCTCGCTACAAGGCAAAGAAACTTTAGAGATCATCTAATCAAACACCCTCGTTTTACAGAGCAGAACCTGCAGCCCCAAGAGAAAAAAAGGATTTGCTCAAGGTCCTACAGCTAATGGCAGGGCTGAGACTAGAATCCAGGGTTCCCCCTCCCACTTTGCTTCTTTGAAGAATGTTTTCATAAGGTGAAACTTTCTTTCCCTCCCCAGTCTGTCTTTTTTGCACCACTGAGGTAGAAGGGGACGGGTACCTTCACTCCATCCTTGAACCAGGCACCAGGCACCAGGTCACTGGTCGGGGTACAAGAGAGCAAAGCTTCTTCCCCTTTCTTGACTTCCATGTCAGCTAGTCCCTGGGAAAAGGGACCTGATGGTCCTAGATAGACACAGGAAGGTCCTGAGTCACAGAACAAGAGCCAGGCACAAAGGTGGGCAGGGGGAGAGTGCCCCCTGGCCCAGATTCACTTCCCAGAGTCCATGTCTAACCTCTGGAAGACTGACTATAGTCCCTGCTAAGAACATCTGAAGGGTTTTGGTAGCAATGCCATCAGCATACACCACAGGGCAGAAACCAAGTTGCCAGTTTCTTAGGATAGGGACAGTAGGTAAGAGGAGGGAATTTTTGGAGGACTCATTCAGCTAAATTAATAAAAAGCAATGAGATGCAGAATAAAGCATCTGGGGCGAGGGGGAGGGTTGTCATCAAATGGCTTAGGTGACAGAGGATTGGAATACATTCATGTCAAAGATTAACTTAAAGGCACTTTAGAGCCAAGATCCCATCTATGTGAGGGACAAGAGGATCAGGGAAGACTCCCCCCTTTATTTGAAAAATCAATTTATTTGATCACTGACAGTGAAAGAATAGACTAGAACTCCTCCCCCCCACCTGGGCTGGGAATGACATTCTGATTCCCAGTAGCCCAAAAGGTCTCTCCCAGAAGCCACCCTCCACCCCTATGGGTGGCCAGTTGGTAAATACTTACCTTGGGTTTCCTCAAAGAAATTGCCTATGCCTTGCTTGTTTCTGTATCTTGACCTTTGGGAAGTTGAATTTCTGTCCAAACCATCTTTCCTGTTGCCCTCGTGGCCCATGGAATCCATGCTCCAGTCTCCTTTCTGAGGTTCTCCTGGGAGCCTTGTGCTCTCAGTTCCATATCTTGATCCCCAAACCCTTCCTTCCCCAGACTTCCGTCTTTCTGAAATTCCTCTCCTAGCTCCTAACCCATTCTGTGACCCATTCCATGCCTGAGACTCCTGCCCCTCTGATCCAACAATATCCTTAGTTCCTATCCTAGTCTTTCCTCCCCAGGTAGATGTAGAGGTCCCTCCCCCCTCCCTCCTCTCATAATTCTCCAGGGACCCTGCACCTTCTGGACTAATATTTTTGCCATCCAGAGACTTCAGATCTCCTCTGGATCCTGATGGACCTTTACCATCCAATCCTATCCCTATGCCCAAAACAGACCCTGGGTCCTTGCTTCCCCCTGACCTATTCCCATAGCTTTTCCTTCCATCCTGGGCTTTCAGAGCTCCCTCCATCCCCGACTGTTGAACTCCATTAGCAAAACTATCTCTCCATTGACTGGAATTCATTCCCACCAGCACATCTGAGTCCTTTGAAGCTCCGGAGGCTTCCCTTCTGCCATCCAGGGAAGCTGCCTCACCCCATCTACCAACTCCTGCTTGGCCTGGCACAAACTTCCTGACGCCACAGGAATCATCACCCCTTGTTCCATTCAGAGCATCCTGGCTCCCATTAATGGTGGTATCTTTTGCCTCCAGGGGACCCTGTACCCCTGAGCCTTGGTGTCTGCTCTTGGCACTTACTCCACTGTGGCCTGGCCCTCGGCTCTTCTTGCCACCTAACTGAGTATCCCCTAACCTCTGGTTTCCTGCTCTAGTACAAATGTTCTCATCTCCCTGCCTGGAGTGTGTATGCTGACCCCAACCTGAAGTATTTGAGTTCCATGATCCTTTGCCTGTCCCTGGGCCACCCAGTGATGTCCCATTTCCCTGATATTCCAATCCTCCTTGGACATCAGCTCTGTCCCCATGCTCTCCTCTTGAATTTTCTCTAGGGTCCAGGCTAGCATCTTTCTCAAGCTCAGTACTTAGAGCAGCAGCTCTATCTGCAGGCAATCCCTCTCTGCCGAGGAATTCTCTGTTTCCCGTATACCCCTGGAGCCCCTGACCACCCTGATACCCACCAGTTCCCGATCTTCCTCCTATATAACATAGGTCTCCTGAGTCCCCTGGGCCTCCAGAGCCATCTGTGCAACCTGGCTGACCAGGAAGGAAATCCCTCCCATCCCAAGATTCCATCACCCCAGAGATCCCAGACCTATATGCTGTCCCAATCCTAGACCCTATTCCTCCAGGAACCCCAGAGCCATTCCCATAAACATAATCTGCCCCATTCATGGATCCCATTGCTTTGCCTACCATTGGGTCATCCATATAACCTGCTCCAACCCCAGACTGCCCTGGAGCCCTACCCTGACAAGGCTCTATTTCCCCTTTGCCTCTGGACTTGTCCCCATGTCCTAGTCTCTCCAATGACTCCAATGCTCCAGAACTCCCTGGGCCACCACCATAATTCCCCTCAGCACCAGACCCTATTCTCCTGGAACCTTTTAAGTCATTTCTATGACTTTCCTTCCCTGATAACACCATTCTCTCATGATCACTTAAGTTATCTCTATAACCTCCTTGAGCTCCTGTTCCCCTTCCCCAAGAACCCCCTAAAATACCCTTTTCACCTGCTTCACCACTTGACTCCTTTCCTCCAGGACCCCTTAAACCACCTCTATTATCTGCCTCACCTTCCAACCCCATTTTCCCAGGACCTCCTATACCTTCTCTATAACCTTCTTCATACTTTGACCCCTGAGCCATGAAACCTTTTGACCCCTCATCATGCCCTTCTTTGCCTCTAGCCCCAAGAAGTCCTGAAATTCCAGACCTATCCCCATAACTTGCCCTCTGTCCTGACCCACAGATTCCTAGGCTCTCAGGATCAGTGCCATCTTCAGAAGACATTACTTTGGAGCTCCTGGAATCATCCCAGTGAGTAGCTCCCACCCCAGAATCCATAGCATGAGGGCCTCTAAACCCATCCCCACAATTCCCATTGCCTCCAGACCTCTGTAGCTTTAGTCCCATTGAGGTCCCCCTAGACCCTGCTCCTGCACCAAGCTCCATTGCTTCTAGACTGTCAGAGCTATGCCTATAATCTGCTTTCCTACCAGCTTTCAAAGCCTCTGAGTCTCCAAATCCTTCACCATAACTATCTTCATCCGAAGACTTTATTCCCCCTGAGCCCCCTGACCTATCTTCAACATATCCTTCCCCTTTAGACCCACTTGTCCCAAGGACTCCAGGACCAAATCCACCAATAGAACCCACCCTCCCTGGGCTTCCTCTCCCATTTCCCAAACCACTCTTTCCCCAAGATCCCATTGTCCCTTGATCTCTAGATCTGTTCTCATGTCCTATTTCATCTTCTGGTCCTGTTATACCTGGACTCCTTGAATTATTCCTTAAACTATCACCCTTTCCAAACACCATTCCCTGAGAAACTCCTAAGCCATTCTTATATCCTGACCCCAAAACAAATCCCATCCCCCTAGGATCCTCTAAGACACCTATATAACCTCCTTTACCCCCTGGCCCCATTCCCTCAGGACACCCTCCACCACCTCCATCACTTCTCTCAACATCTGACCATATTCCCCCAGCATCTCTTAAGCCAGTTCCATAACCTCCCTTCCCCCTTGACCCTATTCCCCCAGGACCTCCTAAACTATCTCCATAGTCTCCCTTACCCTCTGTCCCTATTCCCCTAGGACCCCCTAAACTATCCCCATAGTCTCCCTTCCCCCCTATTCCCTCAGGACCCCCTAAACTATCCCCATAGCCTCCCTTCCCCCCTATTCCCCCAGGACCCCCTAAACTATCCCCATAGTCTCCCTTCCCCCCTATTCCCCCAGGACCCCCTAAACTATCCCCATAACCTCTATTCATCCTTGACCCTATTTCTTCAGGACCCCCTAAACTTTCCTCATAGTCTCCCTTCCCCCCTATTCCTTCAGGACCCCCTAA